AGGATACAGCTCAGATTATTGGAATTCGATCTGATGTAATTAAACAGACCTCCCCTCCTCTTCCTTTAGCCCACAGTCAGTGTATTATAGAAGGGGAAAAAACAGGTCCCTTGGTCCCCCTCTTATTTCCGCCCATGTGCTGGAGAAGGGAAGGGGGGTGCTCCAGTAATCCAGGGATTGTGCTGTTAGCTTTGGGTGTAAAAGTCAAGTGCAAGGGGAGTGTGAGGGTTAAAACTGGATTTAACTAGAGAAGAGGGGGTTACTCATCATGTTTGTATTGGAATCAGAAGACTTTGTTTCCTGCCAAAGTGAAAAGGGATTTAAATGGATTTTTCTCTCTAGTTGGAAGTACACAGATATTCCCCGTGGTGCAGTGGAGGATGTAGTAAATACTGGTAACAAGAATGTGCACAGACCTGGAGGCAGCCTCAAACGCTGGTCTGAGATTCTTGTTTTACACAGGACTCTGCAGTGTTCTACATCTCTGCTGGTTCATTAGCAAGACAATACATATGTCTGGATGTGTGTTGGGTCAAAGCAAAGTTGCTTTATTTCATGGTGATATCATTGTTGTACCTAGAATGTTCTGTTAGCACACTTGCATTTATCCAGTTATATGTGTTTTTATTGCTAAACAAAAAATAAAATCACACAGAGAAAAGAAATAAAAAACATGCATTTTTACTGTGAGCAGGGTTGAATCTCCAGGTAACACTACCCGCTTATCTCTATGTTTAATGCCATGTGACATTAAGTACATTTCAAGTACAGTGGAACATTTCAAGTAAAGCACTGCATATGCATGGAGACAAGCAGGATGTGGTCCATGTTTACCATAAAAGGCAGAAAAGACAAAAATAGTACAAATATGAGGGCAACCACTCACTCCTCATACAAAGTGCTGGGAGTGATATTGTGCCGACACAGTGGCTGCGTGACTAGCACTCACAATTCACAGCAAGAAGGTTCCGGGACGCAGGCCTTTCTGTGTAAAGTTTGTATGTTTCACCACGTGTCTGGGTGGGACTCTTGCGGACGCTCTGGTTACTCCCATCAACCCAAAACATGCACCATAGGCACAATCCTCTAGTGAAGGGATTCCTGCGCAAACCTGGGTCCCCAGGTACTGCAGTGCAGAGCCCACTGCTCCAGAGGATGCCCCAGCACCACTGACGGATGGGTCAAATAAAGAGGACAAAGAATTATGGGGACAATAAAGTGTACCTTACCTTACCACTAGTCCCTCAGTGTCAATATTAAAAATAAAAATAATATAAATTCTGTTTTGAAATGTTTTTTTTTTTTTTTTTTTTAATACATTCATAAAAATATCTTGCTTTCTGGACATTGACCATTGTCCCCATCCTGTAACTTGCTACCCATGAGCATCCATGTCAGACTTCTTTCTATTTGCAATCAGCAATATCAGTAGTGATATATTGAGTGAACGATGAGCCATCAAAATTAGGAATGTATTAAATTTCTGTGAAAACATAATTCAAAACATCAGCATTAAGGAGAGAGCATTTGTGACTGGTTATGCAACAGTGTAGTCTGCACTTTCACCAGTAGACACTTAGACACTACCCAAGAAAAAAGTGGACCGAAGAATACTGCTTCCATTAGAATCATGTATTTCACAGTGTTGTTTTTATTCATCCATGTTTTCATCCAGTCAAATCAACAATGTGGAAAAACACCTGCTAAATCTGGTCTGGTCTAGTGCCATAATGAGCTCTCCTCCTCTCCATCCAGCTATTGTTATCCCCAGTGTCACCAGCTGAAGTCAACTCAATAGCCCTTGAAACCGTATTGGAGATGGTCATGACAGCATTCATCACTGTACAAAGGCGTTCAGCAGAAGCCATAATTGTGTGCTTATATGGATTAATGCTATTGAAGTCACACTGTCCTTCATTATACTCAGCTATTGTGTAGAAGTCCCATCAGGTCCATACTGGCCTTTCCTAACCCTGACCACTGATTAGAGAATGATGGTAACAGATATTAAATAATCATGATGTAATATGACACAATTAGAGGTACATTAGAACAATTATGCTTTTATGCTTAATAAAATACACCTCCTTTTTTTGTCCCAATTGACAGCCTTTCTCTGCAGCTGACCCATAAGTGAAGGGTACACTAGGGAGCATAACAATGTGTGAAATCTTTTCTTTATTCTGTGCTCTTCTCTCTTCTCTTTGATGATTATTCATGTTTTGATTTGTTTGTATTGTGAATGTAATTTATTTCTTATTCTGTAAAGCACTGTGAATTACTTTGAATACAAATTGGGCTAAGCAAATAAACTAACCTAATAAATAAAAACATAAATAAATAGATTGTTTCCTGGAGATAATATTAAAGCAATATTCCTATTAGCCACCATTTCGGTACTTTTCACCATTCAGCTGATAGGGTATTTAGTTTGAAATTAATTGCTTATTGCTATGGCAACGGTCTTCATTTTTCGTCATTCTGAAACCCGTGGATGCTGCTCGCCTAAAGCTTTTACTTCTGAACTAGAACACATTTTTGAATCATGACAGTACATTTCCTGTTCTTGTAGACCTGCAGTGCATATGCGCGGCCGTGGGCTATACAATAAACATGACTTACCTTAGAAATGGAGTTTTATGAAGGACGTCTGTTGTGACATTTCCTCTATCATAAATTTCACCACAGGAAACAGAATATTCAACTGTACTATACATTTTACTCAAAACTTAAAAAATATGGCTCACCTGAGATTACCTTTGGTTCTTATTTGAAATGGTATTTTCAAATTTCTAATATGGGAATTAGACCTTCTTGTATTTTCTTGTATGTTTCTTTAGCCTTCATATATTCACAATGTTTATAAACCTAAAGTAGACATGTAATGATGCATTTTTTCCACAAATTAATCAATAAAAATAATATAATGTCTGAATCTGACAACAAACATTGACCTTTCTAGTTTTTATCATCCGTGAACCAGGAAGTAACAATGGTGCATTAGTTGTTACCATTACTGTGATGGAAATATTCTATAATTATGGACTCTGAAAAAGTGCTAAAAAATAATTGCTTTGAATAATTATAATGCTTGTGTGTTAGGAAAGTGGGTAATAATAGCTTTGGACTGAACTAGTTATGTTTTTCATGTTTTTAAGACCATCAAAATCAGGTACAACACCTTTAAATTACTTCCATATTAATGAAGAATCATGACATCTACTGTGTTACTGCGTGTCGCCCTCACTTTGTCAGTGTCTGGCCCTGACTGTCTAACTTGTAGACTTTTAATTTCCTTCTTTGAGATTGCATGCTGTGATTAGATGCAATTGTGCTCCACCAGCTGAGCTCTGGAGAAGCAGAGGCTGTCTGGTGCTGTACAGATGCTGAGATATAACCCGATGTCACACTGACTTTGACGTGGTAGTTTTGTTCCAGTGAGTAATGTGGATGTTTGAGGTCTAATAATAAATGTGAACCAAAAAGCTCTGATGTAATCCAAATACACTTGTGGTGGATAATGTGCATCTTGTTTTTTTACATGTGCTCACTCATGTAGTAATAATATAAATTACTAGTCAATAATAAAAGCACCAGTTTGACTAAATAGATACAACACCGGAGAACAATAAAGCTTATTTTAACAAAACTTACCTAATTGCTTTTTTCTCTTCTCTTTCTCACTCCGCTGACTTCCAGCACACCTTCATCAGACCCATTTGGATCATTTTAGCTTGTAAAATGCTGATACCAAAATACATTACAACTTGCACATTTACTGTTCTGATGGGTGCCTTTAAAGGAATAGTCTGGAATTTTGAACATAGGACCTCAATTCCTTGTTAGCCAGCATGTTCGAGATGTGTGGAGACACTTTTAATTATAAAAATAATTAAATTTAATAATTTAAAAATATTCCATCCAGTCCTTGTATTTGCAGAGGTCGCTGGTGCTAGGCTAGTGCATGTCAATGGCCATAGTTAGCCTGCCACTAAAAACAGTCTTACCCACTCCACAAAGCACCCAAAGCAAATCTATTATTACGACTATCAATGTAAATGTCTGTGTTGATAGAATAATGTTTGAAATAAAACTAACCTTGCATCGCATGTATCGTTGCATGTTGAAGGACTATTTTCTCAGCAGCAGCAGAATTTTACTTTGCCGGTAAGATAGGTGCTAGGTGATATCAGTCCACTGCTGCCGCTATCAGGAAGTACAACTCGCCGCTGCTGCTCAGACATAAATCCTTCAAATGCAAGGTTGGTTTTACTTCTAAAATTCACATTGATAGTCGACGTTCACATTAACAGTCTTGCGTAATAATAATTGATGCTAAAATATGTAGCTGTTTTTATAGGAACCAAACACTTCACGATATATATCCATGCAATACATTGATTTGTTCATGTATTTCATGCCATATTATGATGATATTGTATTATGGGCCATAAGCCGTGTATTGTATCTAAACATGAGGGAGCCTATGATTTCCAGCTCTAGTGTCACAGTTATTTTGTCTTTTGATGTGATGAAGTAAATCAGGTGTCCGTTTTGGATCAGTTAATGTATTGTCAAACTGAGATGTATTAACTACATAATTCACTTACTGTAAATTATTGCCTTTGTAATGTTGTTGTTGCATAATAATAATTTGCTTCGGGTGCTTTGTGGGAGTGGGTAAGACTGTTTTTAGTGGCAGGCTAACTATGACCATTGACATGCACTAGCCTAGAACCAGTGACCTCTGCAAATACAAGGACTGGATGGAATATTTAAAAAAGTGTCTCCACATGTCTCCAACACTCTGGCTCACTAGGATATAAGGCCCTATGTCCAAAATCCTGGACTGTCCCTTTAACCTTTAAGCAGCTATTATAATTAGCCTTGTAAAATGGCAATTGGCAACCATGAGAAATACCTAAACTGTCAATTGTCTCTCACTGATAAAAAGAAAACCGTGGACATTTTTATAATTACAATATTCTTGGGTCATTTCTTTTATTGTTAATTAATTCTAAAATGTGTCATGATAGAAATAAATAACTCTGATCATTCATTCATCCATTGCATTGCTTAGATGTCGTGCCACATATATTGGAAAAAACATATTTTTGTTAAAACTTTGACAGATACTGCAGTTTATATTCTCATAGTTGTCTTTTCTGAATTAAAATCTCTCAAAACATTTGAAAACTAAGACCATCTGAGTTTTCAAAGGGTATTTTTTCATGTATTTAATTTATTCTTAAAATATTCCATGATAAAAATGTAAATGTCTCTGATATTTAAGCAATGTATTCTGCATCTGTCGACTTCCCGTCTCTAATCTCTGCATCCTTGGTAGATTTGCCTGTCCGCATTTGTGCAAACCAACACCAAAAGCACAAAAATAATAAATTAAAGAGATCAAAACCCATAGAGAGAGAATGAGTCAGTATTCCACACCGTGTACAATACAATATCATAGCAAATTAGCAGTTTTCAATGGCTTCCACTGACTACCATAGATTTACAATGTTCAGTTGGCTGCATACCAGTCCTCAATAAATTTCCTTTTTTCAGTAATGGATTTGATAGACAGTGACTTGAATGAATATGAAATCAAAGCAGCTACAGAGATGTGAACAAAAATAAAGTTGGGACTATACGATTCAGTGAGAACAACAGCTTTTGTTCACGTCCTACTACTTAAAACTGCCATTGTGATCACATTGTAAGTCCAATAAGCTTCTCTACAAAGGTACAACATATAAAATTGTTAAATATATAACTTTTTAGGGCCTTCCAAAATACATTTAATGACATTTCTTTACTCTTTCTACTCAACAGAATTTTTAAACTTTCTCTGAAGATAATTCTTTGATATGATTTCTTTCTGCCAACGAGCCATCGCAAACACCTCCGCTACTGATAAAAATGCAACTTTTTTGATACACAGTTATACGTATGTAGTATCTATATCTTCAGTCTTCAAAATACAGTGGTGGGCTTAGTCTGACAAAAAAGTCTGTAAAGTTTAAAAGTACTCCAGTTTGATTGGTTCATAAGAGTATCCAACAAGATGTTTCTTTTAAAGTTCTGCTGGCATCTCACAACGTCTTATCCAAAATGTCTGCATGGTTTTATGTCAGATGGTGATTTCAGTTCATTTTTCTCTTTGGTCTATAAAAATATGGGAGGTTTTACTCCAGCAGAAGGCCTATTCACAGCAAAGAGCGCCCGCCTCAAAAAGGTGGTCCCACAATCAATACAATCCAGGTATTTCATAGGAATCCCTTTTTGTCCGAAACCACATGTCTTGGTGAGGCGTTTTTTGTTGGGCATGTAAAGGTTGTCCTCTGTTCACAAACGGAGCAGGGGCCGCGTGGTGACCCCCCGACAGACAGCGAGATGGAGCGGTCAGGATGGGGTCGAGGTGCAGGTGGAAGTGGAACAGTTTGTCCAGTGTCCGGTGGAGGAGAGGCGGAGGTAGCTCCCTCAAACAACAGTCACTCCCTGGAGATCGCACCGCCAGCTCTGGTTATGACACCTGTGGAGCAGAAGAGAGCAAAGGTAGAATGGCGCTTTTATGCTTCTAAAAACGTGTAAAGCTGGACTTGTTTGCTTCTATGTTGGATGCAATGCATAGCTGCCGTAAATGAGTAATCAATAGGGATGTAACAATACCCAAAATATTGTGATATCGTATTGTTAAAGTTCTCGTGGACCATCACAATATATCGAATTACAAGTCTCTTTGCTTAAATTAAGAGTTACGGTGCAGAAATAGCTGCAAAAAGGCAGTGGGAACTAAATAGATCATGATCCTTTGCGCCATTTCAGAGTAGACTAAAAGAAGAAATAACTGTTCTAAGCACTTTTAAGTCTTAGTTCTTTGGATTAAGTCTTATCAAGACATTTTAAGAGGAGCATGTTAGCCTCCACAATATATCACAATAAATGTCACACCATGGGATGTATATTGTGAAAATATGGTGTAAACATTGAAAGAGATTTGGACATTGTTACATTCCTAATCGTGAGCCTCCCCATCATATCGCGAGCTTTCCCACGTTATTGCAATAAATATCGTGAGGTTCATACCGTGACAATAACATGTTGTGAGACTTGGATATCGTTACAACCCTAGTAATAAATAATATAAATCACAAACTATACACTTACAATCTGTACAAGACATGGAAGGCACTGTGGATTAAGGGCCTCAGTTATCAATCCATGGTCTAAACCGTAAGCATAAGATGAAAAAAATGGCTTGTGCAGTTTGTTGGCATGTTGCGTGTGATATGTAAATGAGTGCATTCAGTGAGTGTAAAAGTTTGTGTGCCTTTGCTCCTGTGGGCTATTGAATTTTTCAACTGTTGTGTTTGCTTGGACTTAATCGATGATGATGGATCGCTGAAATTCGTGCTAGAATCACATCACGCCTCATCCAGGGTAACGGGACCGGACCCCACAGTTTACGCTTTAGGACACGGGGCAGTCTTTAGGACATGGAACAGACTTAAGCACATGAGCAAACACTTGATAAATGAGCCCCCACGTGTCTTGCAAAGCGACACAAATTCAGTGTTGTATTGCTCAATTGGCAGAGTTATCGAATCCACTGACGGAACAGGTTGGTGGTTCAGTCCCAGCTCTTACAAATGCATACTGTGATCGTGTCCTTGGGCAAGACACTTGATGTGCCTTGCCAGTATTTGCGCGTGTGTAAGCGATTTCTTGATGTAAAGTGATATGATAGCCTAGTTGAGAAAAGTACATTTTATTTTAATTGGTGAAAGAAAGTCAGCTAGATGAACGCTCAGTGGGTGGGTGTTTAAATTTTTCTGATCCGTCCACTGTGTTGGCGTTCACAACCAAAAGGATTTAGGAGTTTAATTCTTAAACACAGTACACTGGCCTGTGGTTTGGGTGTAATAAATATTGCAAAAGCTAATCATGCTACAGTTTTTCATTTGTGTATAACCAGTCTAGTTTAGATCAGAAGTAAATTTAGCTTCCCCTTTAATGTTTTTGATATAAAAGGCAACATGTCAAATCCTTCCTCCCACTGTGTTTTATAGATGAATCGTTGGAGCAAAGGTGTCAGTTAATTAGAACACCATCACAAAGGGAATGTAAAAGCCTGCTGTTTTCTTTGTCACAATCAAGTCAAATATTTTCATTTGTGGAGTGGGTGTATGTCGTAACAAAGTAAAAATCTCAATATGGGGAGTAAAACAACAATTAATCCAACTGGGACTGTTAGTTGTAGCCATCTGTTTTGCAATGGTCACAGAGCCAAGTAGCAACCTCTATCTGCACACTGTTAGTTTGGAATAATCAACTTGTGGCGATGTAACAGGCTGCAAATCGCTATAAAATGTGCAGCTGTTGGACCAAGTATAATGTATCACCCAAGCTCAATTTGACTCTGTTGGAAGGGACTCACGATAGTATTTCTGATAGAAGTAAAGTCACATAGGGGAGTGCAAAAATATCAATATAGTGTGATACTAAATTTGGTGATGCACTATTGTTATCGTGGGCTGCTGGATTGATATATTGCCAAGAAAGTGTTTTGTTATATTTTAGCAATTTTTTCAGTGACTACACTACAATTGTGTTGCTTATTTTGTGTAAAGAAACTTATTTTTACAATAAGCTTGGCATATTCACTGTTTAGAAGTATTTCATGTTAACTTTGCACAGGTAGTGGTTTAACAAAGAAATATTGTTTCTAAAATATGTAGCTGTTTTTATAGGAACCAAACACATCACAGTATATATCCATGCAATATATCGATTAGTTCATGTATTTCATGCCATATTATGATGATATTGTATTATGAGCCGTAAACCGTGTATCGTATCTAAACATGAGGGAGCTCTAGTGTCACAGTTATTTTGTCTTTTGATGTGATGAAGTTAATCAGGTGACCATTTTAGATCAGTTAATGTATTGTCAAACTGAGATGTATTAACTACAAAATTCACATACTGTAAATCATAACTGCATTGCGTTTGTAATGTTCTAATAGGTTGTATATTTCAATATGACAAAGCATAGGGAGAAGGCAGGTCCTATTTTACACACAAATGATTCTTTTGAGCTTTAAGCCATGTTAGAATGTTGTTACCTCATCAAAAACATACCTGGAGTTGTGTTTTGTTTCATTCGCACATGTGTGAGTAACCCTTTATTATTAAGCTACCTATCAAAACTCAAAATTCTCTGTCCCCACCTTATGATGTCATGAAGTGGTAGTTTTTACGTTAACAACTACCTTTTACCAAATGATCCTAGTGAACGTGTATGGAGTTTTACAACACACCAGATCACTTCATGTATTACCACATGACACCACAAGATGGAACAGAGTGTTTTCAGTTTGAGAGAAGAACTCAGACTTAATATACAGGGTTAAACATGTGAATATAACAAAACACAACTCCAGGTATAGTTTTGATGAGGGAAAAACTTTATAACTTAGATAAAAAAAAAAAAAAAAGTGTAATATTGTCCCTTTCTGTAATAATGAACAATAATGATCAGGCTTAGTAACTCCTTTATTGAGTGTTTATTAATATGTTAAATGTTGTTGTTATAAAATATTACTCAAAACCTAAATACACCCTCAACTTGAGTAATTTCTACCTTTTATATTTTTGTAAAGAAGCCTCACATATATTCAAAAGATGACAAACAAATGCAGTTCTTTACACCAAAGCTATATTGCTCCTGTTTGCTAGACTTTATTGTAGAAGCCAGCAGTGGCAATTAAACTATACTACAATTTAAGTCTACTTCTTATGAACCAAAGCCAAAATATATAATTGTGTAATAAGCAGCACAACCCACCTCTCTCACACTGAACTGTACTGTATGTTCATGGAAAAGCTTGTTGTTTTATGTAACACTGCATTATGTTAATTTTGTCTTCTCTCTTTGCACTCAGATACCGCCGGTCTTTTTTTTTCTTCCTCACGCCCACACTGTTACAAACTGTTCCCATAAATCTCTCCCGCTATCTCATCTCAGCAAAACGCAAGCCTTCGATTAAAACCAGGAACCAGTACTGGACAAATATGAAATTAAATTGCCTTGCCACTAAAATGCACAGACCCTTACTGATTATCATAACCTTAACACCACCAGTAAATATCCATATGTACAACCTGTAAGAGCCAGGGAATGGTGTACCAATATGTTTCAACTAGTAGCAAGTAAGACCAAGTATGTGAATATTTTGTTAAGTTAGTCAGTTAAATAGTAGTCTTATCACGATACTAAATCTACTATGCCATACAGGAAAAGGCTACACTCTCAAAATTAACTTTCTTTCAGACAATAAAAGTTTCTAAATAAAATAATAGTAGTTTATGCTATAATACCATGCTGTCTTATATTTTTCTTATTTATTTGATCTATTTCATTGACTTCAAATATACAATACTACTACTACTGCTAATAATATTAATAAACACATTATTGTAAATTATAATAAATAATTTTAAAAGGGTGAGTTCAGGCTTGTCCTTGCTGTGTGTTTGAGCCCTGTTTAGTCCAGTTTAGATTAGACTGGTGCGCATGTAAATATAGTGAGTATGAATGCATCCTTGAATACAGAGTATTAATGTCTCTTACACAACTGTTAACACAATACTTTATATTTAAATGTGTAACAAAATACTCCCAATGTTTAAGATAGTTAAGGCAGAAGGGCGTCTGCAGTAATCCTTTTGCTCAATCGATATTCAATATCACTGCTGTCTTAGAGCAGAAAATGACTACATTTGAAAGGTATCAGAAAACTGGAGGAAAACTCATTGACAAATTCATCTTTTATTACAAAACATTCACTCAATAGAAATCGACATGTTGCTCCTAGCACTGTATCGGAAACAAGGCAAACATTGGATTGGAGGGACATTATGCAGAGCTTCCTGTCTTCAGGGCTCGTGTATAATGTGTGGATGAATAAATGAGAAAGCACACATTCACATTGTTTGCGTGGAGGTGGAGGCAGCAGCATCTGTCAGAGACCACTACATATAGAACACATACACACGCATACACACACATACGAACTCGCTTACACACACACACACACACACGCATAGACACATACAGACATAAGGCAGCCGGGAATCACTGTGCTGGGGACATATGGCTCCCTCAGGCCCCACTAAACATGTGAGCAAATTGATTGGATGCACCAAGGTCGAGGTTTGGAAACGTCAGAGATTGATCTGAAGAATCAATTGATGATACCTGCTGTTGTTGTTTTTTTTGTTGTTGTTTTTTTTTTTTTACTGTTGAGTACATTATCTCTCTCTGTAATCTCAAACTAACTTTTTTTAAAATCCATCTTTACCCTAGATGTCTGATTCTACCTGATACACACAACAGGCTAATCTGACACTTCAGCTGTTTAGTTGGATGAAGTCAGTTTGTACCATTGTATTTAACTCTGCTTAAATTTTATACTGAGGCCTACTTCAAAACTGAATGTAGAATACACAATTCCTCTGTACTTGATCCCTGTAAACCTGTGAAAAGTTGGGAGTATAATTTGGAACCTTCTTTATGGGGATTTAGATGCATTTAACAGTCGAGACAATAATTTATACAACAAAATTTGATAAATTGTATGTTTTTTTTGTTTGTTTCTTTCAGAGAGAATCTTATGTCTTGCCCTGTTATTCTGCTTGAATTTTTTGTGAAATGAGACACTCGTACAAAACATTTTGATTGCAAAATGAACCTTGTCATTTCCCAAATCATTTTCTTATATGGAGAAAGTTGTTTGTACAGATGAGATGTACTACAAATTGCCCATAGTAGATCAACTCAGCACTGGAAGCCTTTGGGAACTGACCCTATCCCACTTCGAACACTGCTCTGTTTAATATTTAATACAGCAGTCAAGCAGGTTTCTTGTTGTGTCAGAACATGCTCCCTTCACAATAGTCTGCTGCATGAATATTCAAACATGAACTTGTATGTTCGCAGGGCTCCACAGGTTAATAAGGGATGTGAAATCACTCATTACATGCTCTGAAGTTGGATAATGCCTGGAGCAGATGCTTAGATCAAAATACATGAACATGTATGCACGGGCCTCTAGACACAAGGCCTCATTCCACATTAAGAGACAGTTCAAAGCCAACCACGTGTTATGTTATTATATACAGCTTTTCTTTTGAGCTTCAAAGAAAACACTATCTGCATCCTGCAAAGTGATCATAAAACTATTACTCAAGCGGCCGCACCAGGGGACACCCGGAAGGATGCTTGAATGTCACCCAACTGTCTCACAAAGCAGCCTGGTCTAATCCTTACACAAGAAGGGGATATTTCCATGTGAGGGCATTCCTTTTGTCCTTGTTTAAAAAGAAATTATGTTAAGTTGTTTGTAATAATAGATGCTATTTACAGATGGGCTATACAATTAAATAAAGATTGTACAGCCATTCAAATGTACTTATCTGCAGGGTCTTTTTTATGCTTGCAACAAAAAAATATAATACGAAGTTGGTGTTTATTCATTTATTTATTTATTTATTTTTTACCACACCTCCTCCTGTGTCTCAGCCCAAACTTGGACACAATCAGGTTAGTTTATTTCAGTGATGCCAAGGAAACTGAAGAGCACTGTGGTCATCTATTATAGAACCAAATCAAACTTCTCTAACCTCAAATTACCATTTAATCCTTCTGAGTTTTCAGACCCTGTGTATTTTTTTATTTAATTTATTTTTTTCCTTTTTCACTCATAAACTGACAGGCACGCGAACTAGCCAGACAAGTAAACACACACAAGCACACACACATAGTGGAGCATATACATGATGCAACACAAAGAAACAAACGGAATATGTATGATTACTTCCTGCTAAATAAATAAAAAAATAAAATACTTAGGATTTCATGACTCACTGTGAATGTACAGTAACCCAGGAACACCACCATACAGAGAGAACACATTGATTATTTAACCACCACCATAAAAATGATCAGTGCTTTCTTTTCCTCTGTGTAATTGTGCGTGTATGGTGAAACTTAACGCTTCACTGAACTTGCTGCTTCCTGTATATTCTGTGCATTACTGGATCAAGTGTTGTGACAGTAAATAGACAATAATCTCCTAATGTACTCTGGGACTTGGGTCTATTTATAGTTGAAATCTGCCGCAGACCTGCTCCCATCATAACACAGGCCATAAACTGTCAGTATTGAGCGACAGAGACCCCTGCTTTCCACAAACCCTACGAGACCGGGCATTTTTACGAGTCCGGCCTCATCTTTTTTACGGCGCTGTATGTTAAATTTACAGCACTGACATCTCTCTATTTCCCAATCAGGCGTATTAATACTGGAGCCAGTGTGGCGCCTGGTTTTATCCCACTGCACATCTAGACATTTTAAAGATGTTATACGAGCCACGCCAGTAAGAAAATAAAAATAAATAAATAACCTAATAGATATAAAGCATTGGATTTTCCTGGCAAAGATGCACACATAGATTTTCTGTGGTTAAATGGTGGCCAGGGAGCTGCTGAGCTTATGGAAAAATGAGAGTCTAAAGAAAGAAATCAAAGAACATGTCTTTTGCGATGAGTGTCAGGATTTATGTGAGGAAATATGTTGTGTGGAGAATGCGTCGGCCTCAGAGCTAACAGGCTAAACTAATCGATTCGCTGAGAGATTTTGTGCACAGGTTCAGGATTATGTTGACAGAATATATGACATTCAACTCCTTGTGGATGCCTACAATTGGAGATTTTACTTGACTGTAAGTATGTATGTTGTGGTTATATAATAAAGAGCTTGCAGCTGGATTTTGGAGTTGTATTGATTGGACTTGGACAAGTTTTCGGACAGAATTTCAGCAAAATTTTACCAAATGCACTTAGAGAAAGCACAAAAATAAAATCTATGTTTGAATGAATAAACAGTTATGCTTTTGGGTATTTCAATGATGCTTGCTGCAGTTTCTTCAATAAAACTGCATATATTTCCAAGCTAGTTTTTATTTACAATATTTAAAACGGCAGTGATTTTGTCATCACATATCAAAGGATATGTATGCAATGAAATTAATGATGTTTAAAACTACAATATCAAAATAATGTTTCACTAATACCATTTATTATAAGTGTGTAATTCTCAATCATGCTGTGTACTGAATCCAGTTTTGATATTTGAAGCAATCATAGCAAAACTATGATGTTCTCCATACACTTAAAGATCACAAACATACCTGGAGTTGTATTTTGTTTCTTTCACACATTTTTTATTTATTTATTTTTTTAACACAGAGAGATATTTAGTTCTTCTCTCAAACAGAAAACACTCCACCTTAATTTCAGCCCTAGAATTGCCAATCTCTACTGAAATAACAGGAAAAGGTACTTGTTAACTTGAAAACTACCCCTTCATCACAAGGTGGAACAGAGCATTTTGAGCTTTAGAGATGTAGACAGACTAATAATAATAATAAAGGGTTACTCAAACATGTGTGAATAAAACAAAACACAATCTCAGGTAACACCTAACATGGCTTAGAGCTCACAAGAGACAGTTTTGCATAATATAGTTCCCTTAACTTAAACACGACCACTGTACATAACTGTACATCACTTTTTTCTTGTACTTTTGACAGTGAAAATCCATAAACATTTTGTAATCTAATTGTATGGACAGCTCTGTAGTGGTGTACCTTGCCTTGGTGCAGTTGTTGCGAGCTGCCTGCGGTGCCAGGGATGGGGTGGAGCAGTGGTGAAGCAGGTGGGGGTGTGGGTGCTGGTGGTTGGTGCTAGTGGTAGGTTTGTGGCTGTCTGTCAAAGGGTCATCAGTGCTGTCCATAGTGCAAGAGTGTCCTGGGGGACTCTTGTCTCGTCATAGTGCCTGAGGGGAGAGAGGGGAGCCTGGTCAGAATCACAACATTCAACAGTTTATGTCAATATAAAAACACTGTGATGTCTTTATTGGAAAAAAAAGAGCTTCATGTAGTGGATAGTATGTCGTCATAGAGTTAACAATACATAATCATTTTAATAGTCTGACTTGCTCTATGGTTTGTTTCTTTGTAACAGGGCCCATATTACATTCTCTTTCTTTGTTATAATGTTGTTTCCTCATCACAAACACACCCAGGTTTATTTATTTATTTTTCATTCAATCACGTTTGACGCACATACCCTGTGTATTTAGGCTGAGTTCTTCTCTCAAATGGAAAACACCCTGTTCTACCTTGTGATGTCATGTGGTAATACAGGAAGTGTCCCACTGTGTTTTTAATAAGATCCATATTTAACTAGAATCATTTGGAAAATTTTAGCCCTGGTATTGCCAATCAATCAATCAAACTTTATTTATAGAACAATTTTCATACAAAAAATGCAACACAAACAATCTCTGCTAAACCAAAGGTAAAAAGCAGGTATTAAAATTCAAATTACTGCTTCATGATATTGCAAGGTGGAACAGAACATTTTAAGCTTTCAAAATAGACTAATAATAAAAGAACTGCTCCAACATGCATGAAACAAAACAAAACTCCAAACAAACATAGCTCACGAATCAATTTCACATTTAAGTTATAAGTTTGTCTTTCACAATTCTATTCAAATATTACTCATTTATAGTACAACTTTCTTAGACAGTCCACTTTGATTGGGTTGGAGCCTGAAATAGAGCAGCCTTTTTACTCTGGCCCCCTGCTGTTTTCACATAGGATCCACATCTATAAGTGCACATCCCTTTTGGTCTCATCATTTGATTTTCTCTGATAACTCCGAGCCTTCAGGCTTCATTAGTAATCCTCTACTACTGTAGCATTTAAGATCACTTCTCGTGTTTCTTAAAGTGATGAATCTGGTTTTCAAAAGAGTTTCATCAATACCACATTAAAGTTTATAATTTGAGTTTAAGTTATATAATAATTTAATGTCTTTTTGTGATTAACTATGTATTAAGTACACTGTATGCAACGCATCAGTATTATATCTGCATAAACTGGAGATCAGTATAGCCTCTCCATGCTGTCCCCAACACGCTGACACACTGAACATTATTGGGAAAGTTGATGAAGCACAACCACAGTAGCATTAAAGCTGCACTATGTAACTCTTATTGTGGAGGGTTTACCACCTGATAGTATCCATGGAGATCTTAATGCGGGACTGCGGAATGTTCCACAGTATATTGTTTAAAATGTTTATCTTGCTTTTACATTTACATGTGTTTTTAGTCTTTTAAAAAAGCTTGTATTCTTACTGTGAGGGGTTATTGCCTCTCCACAGATCTGACCTGTAACTTGGCCAGGGATGTGGCTTGCTTGTTTCCATGGAGACAGATACATTTAATCCCATGTAAAAATATTTGGGCCATAGAAATATAGCATCTTAATGGAGACTAGCAGGTGGCATATGCTTCTACTTTTAAGTAAAACATGTAGGCCTACAAGTTAATTTATTTCTGTACACCAAAGTAAGATGCCTAGTACCAGTTCATGTAATTTATATCACTTAGCTCCTTTCTCCAATACTGTATTCCAGCCCAATCTGACACACAGCAGTGCTGTCTGGAGCACAGCTAATTGGAATCATTTGGAGCACACCCCGTATTTCCTGTTTTACATTTTGCTCTTACTGCGGAGCCAAATGGACTGGTCTGACAGTGAGCCAGTGGTGTGTGTGGACATTTCGACTGGACCTGGCAGCCTCTCCTTCACTGGTCTGCAGAGGCTCCACTTTTAGCTGCACAGCTCACTTAGAAGATCAATCCCTCTCTCCCAGGCGACTGCTTCTACACTGGTCCAGTGTCCCAGGTGCCCCGTTCGCCTTTGGTAACAGGCCCACTGTCCTTCTCACCATCCCAAAATATAGTAAGTGAAATCTATAGTATATACCCAAGAAAATGAACTGTCCTACTGATCCTGTTTAAATACATTATGTCTTATTAACATGTATAATTTAAAGGCACACTATATAACTTTTCTCATGCAGGGAGTTGACTCCCTAAATTGACTCCCTAAGTTAACTCCTGTCTAAATGCAGATGTTATTGCTTGCATCGAATTTTCCACAGCATGGCTGACTGTTAAGTCAGATCTGTGAAGAGTACTGGATTTTAAACTGTATTATTTACATTATTATAAGTGATAAACTATTGGCATAATTCATGCTGTGCTTGTATAATTATTGCACATGTCCGGTTATACCCGAGATCTGGAGTAAAGTTCCATCACTTCTGCTGAAATGGAGGACTTCAGAGGATTTCTATTGCTGAGTTGGCTGCATGTAGTCCGTGTGTAACTTTGGCAGACAGCACTAATAGCTAACTGTCTCTCTCTCCCCCCACTGGCATGTCCAGGGTGGCCAAGCAGCTGTCTTCTTAGTAGTGATTGTGTTCTAGCCCTGTTGGACTGTAGGCTGCATACACGGGGCCCAAAGGGATCAATTACAAGGGCCGGTACCAGGCCCGATCCAAAGAGAGGGGCGCCGCATCCCATCTCACAACTGTAGAAGAAGGAATTTAAAATGGGAGCAGGGAATATTACAAAACCCCATTGAAAGTGTTTTTGCTCCTGCACTGAACGCCAGCTGTCACTGGCAAATGTAGAAATGGCTAAAAAGCAATGACTTGGGACTGACTGTACAAAAGCATGGTTTAAAATACACTGTGTAACTTTTACGACCATAATTGATTTTTGTTACCTCAAATGGCACAATATTATCATTGAAAGGGGATTTTTAGCTTAATATGGTGGGAAGTATATGAACGCATCCTAGTATTTGCAGGAAAAGTCAGTAGCAATGTTCCGTAAACCAATGTACAATGTTTTTCAGCATTAGCAGAAAGGTCACTGATAATAGCTTTCGTCAAGATCATTAAAGTAAGCCTGATGTCTGCCTCCTGCTGTCTCCTTGTCTTTGGTAATGGCCATAATTTCAATAATCTTTCTCAAGCTTCACACACTTTCTCTATTCCATACATAAAATGTTCTTCTGTGTAGTAAGTGCATTTGGGAAACTATGCGAATATCTGTCCTTTCTTTGGTCCAATTAAAAGTTTACTTTAAAGGCAACTTTTCTGAAGGAGGGACTGACACCCGAATGTCTCCATGGAGATGCTACTGCTTTGCTTGGGATATTTCACAGGTATTATGCTTGTACAACATGCATCTGTGTTGTCCTCCACGTATGATTCATAGCACAAGAAAATTTCAAATGTGTCAACAGGCCAAGTCTTCACCCTAAAAAGTTTTCTTTTGCTTTGAACAACATGCGTTTTTACTATGGTTTGCCTCCCCACAGATGAAATTTGTAACTTGGCCTTGTCAACTTTAATGCCATACTGTGGAACATTTCAGGCAGTTTATCAGTACTGAGTGTGGGAAGTGAACTAATGAGCATTCTGATTATCTTGAAAGGTGCTATAAACTCAGTCCATGCAGGCATTGCAGGCTAGCACATCAAACTCAGCACATTTTATAATCTGTCCCATACGTGTTTTGAACCTTTATCTTGTACGTGTCCTGAGCTGTCTGCACCCACTCCCTGTTTGTGTGACTTCGTCAGCATGTGTCAATGAGGTGCCTTCTGTCGTCACCTCTTGTCTGGTCTGTGAAATAGTCTTGATTACAGTAATCACGCTCTCCCCTCAGTCAGGGCCACTTGGGCTCATAGCACTCTGTTCACAGCCTAAATAGCTCAATCAGCAGCTGTCTAATGGAACCTATCATTTGGACCTGGATACTTCACATTTTTGTTGCCATCTCTGCCTCGTCGTGTGTTTTCAAATGGTCTTTTGGGGAAATTTATTGCAAAAAGATCAAACCAGGATAGCAATGGATGACTATGAAGTTTTTACGAGAGAGAAAATGATGGCAATATTTCAGTATTCAAGGAAAGCAGCAAAGAAGTAACACTCTATAATGAATAAAGTGATAAAAACTAAAACTTGGACCAAAAATATACACTCAGTATGACTATATACTCAGCAGCATGCTTAAGCACAAATAGAGTCTCTATTCTGTTAGTTCTGTTCTCTCAAGTGAAAAGTAGTCAAAGTAGTCAGTAAATAATTTATTTGAATTAGTCTATGGTGTATTATTTTAAGTGCAAAACAACAACAGCTTTATAGAGAAAGTTATTGATCCACAAGGGAAATTACTTAGCCATAGTAATTTACACCTTGCAATAAAATAAGAAAGAGCTAAAGAATGTGTGGTAATAATATTTTAATTACACATATTTAAAGGTACAGTATGTAACTTTCTGGAGGTAGCACATCACCTGCATGATTCCATAGTAAAAGCTAAAAAAACATGTCTCTGAATGTGATCCACAGAGATAGATGCCACATTGTGATTATAGCCAAAAGAACAACATTTTCAGGGAAACTCCTTCACTAGGCCAAGTAAGAATCACATTTTTGTGGAGGTGCAAGCCTACTCAGAGGAAGGGTGCATGTTTTTCTACATTTTTCAGTGCAACAAACAACTATAGTAATAATAAATTGCATTTATTTCAGTATATTTTTGGCTAAAAAGTTACATTCATGTGAAATATCAGAAATGGCAAAAAAATTATTATACAAAATATAAGAACACATTGCATGCATTACCTTGCTCTGATTAGACAGTTATCTATAGATTGTCTACTATGTCTTATATGATTTAAACATTTTGCCTTAGCTCACAGTGAGTCATGTTCTTGTCTTCCATTCATGCTGCTCTCCTCTAATAACCTGCCTCTTCTCTCACTTGTGCCACTGCTCACAATAGTTTCTTATCTTTGTCACCGCTGGAGCCCTCTTTCTCTCTGTAATGGCGCGTTGGCTCTGCCCCGCTCAGTGCTGCCCCCTGTGGAGGCACAGAGGGAGGTCACTGCTGGGAGGTTT